AGTATCATGATTAATTATTCCTTTCATTGATTGGAATCTTCACATAATTGTATCGCGGTTTCACTGTCTGGTTATATGTTGTTACATTTTTATCTCCCATTGTTGGTGGGACCCTTCTATTAATTTACCAATTTACTGTTGTTTCAGAGACATAAGAGCTAGTATGTCTAAACGTAAAAGAAGATGTATATTAGTGCAACTTTTTCCATTACTGTCCCACGGTGAGCTGTGACAGTGTTTGTCCTGATTTGCAAAGTGGTGTGGCTATTTCACTGACATTTATTCCAATGTTCTGGTTTGAAAACCACAGTGGAAAAGCAAGGCAGATCATAGAACCAAAGCCTTACAGGGTGTGTAAAGTTCAGGTTATGGAAAGCTTAAGGTTACAGGTCATTAAGTTCCTGTAGTGGAAAAGAGACAATGGGCAGTTACATGCCTCCCTCCATGTGTATAACGTACAGTGTGCATGTATAGTTTTTTGAGCATTACATATGTCATTTGGGGTTCTTTTTCGCCCCAGAGGACCCCTCAGGGTCATGAGTAGAACTTATACACTTACAGCAGGAGAATATATCAAGATATGATGTGGCACATCACTGAGCCAGGGGGGGGTGAGGTCTTTGCGCACATGCAATTTGTTTCAGACTGGAGGGAGTCTCTATTATAAACAATGGTTATATTGTTGAAAGCCAGTGAAACTCGGCCTGGCAGTACCTGCTGTTCAGGATAGACTTCCTCAGTATCTCTCTGTGGTTCTCAGTGCTCCAGGCTTTTACAGGTTTGGTACAACTCGTCATCTCTCTCTCACACAACTGCATTGATGATTTCTTTTTCTAATATATTTGCTTCAGCTTTTTAGGTTATAGGTCGAGTGTGTAACATTTAAGAGGATCTACTGAAATACACTGAAACACTGTATGCATAGTTATGGTTTAATTTGCCTATAAGCATCTGAATTTAGGAATAGTTGTGTTTTCTTTACCTTAGAATAAGCAGTTTTTATCTACAGAGGGAATGGGTCCTCTTCTATGCCATGTTGAACCGCCATGTTTCTACAGCAGACAAACCAAACACTGGCTCTAGGTAAGAGCCTTTCAAGTTGGTCGTGAGTTTCGTGGCCACTACACACTTTGGAGGCAAATAATATATTTAAATTATTTGTAATCTGCGAATCTATGCCGCTAAATCGTACACATTGGTCCTTTAAATCTGCATCTGTTTATTCAAACAAAGATACCTTTTCTGCTTCCACGAAGGCAAGCATAAAAACTGAGACAGAAGGTATTTGTTTGCTTTGTAGGTCTAAAGACAAAGATATTGTCTAAGCAATGTCATGGTGCCAGTGAGGGGAGGAAAACACATGCAAGTGTTTTTGTTCCCATTAAAGAGGGCTTGATTTAAAGACAGTTGTTAATGGAGGAGCAGCAGTAAATAGAGGCTTCACAGAACAACAATATCCTTTTCTGTGGCTGTGTCTTCTTTTAGAGACACAAACTAGTATGACAGCAAATGACCTAATTACCTCTCTGTTTAGTATCCGCCGCACCAAGCAACCTAAAAATGTTTTGCACTCCATGCACAAGCAAAAGCTCCTCTCTTCACAGAGCAGCCAGCAAAAGCAATAAAAACAATGTTTAGAAGTGAGCCCATAAAGACATTCAAGCTGAGTGCAACAAGGCCTTCTCCCATTTCACTGCAAGTATTTAAGGGTTTGGACCTATACTTTAGAGAAAATGACAGCTGACCAATGACCTGCTGTGACTGAGGAGACACATTGTTTTCATTGACTGGGATCACTGCTGTTGCAGACATCATGTAGGAAAACAAAGCGTTGCTAGTTTAACATAGAATGCAGAAAAACTCAACAGGCTGGATAAGAGCAGCATTACAAAACAGTGTCTGACATGTTCATTATCTGGAATATTTTTGCAATGATGAATTACACCTCGTCAGCTCCTTGTCAGCTTTAAATATATTCATCCCTGCACATCGGCTCCTGTTAAAATCATAGCATG